ACAGGACTACACTGAAAAACAGGCCGATCTGCAAGATCTATAAACAAAGGTGTTGATGGCAGCAGCACAGCTTATTTCTCTCCTTAGGATGGAATAGGAACAGATAAGGCGTAGCTATCATGAGCTACTATGATTATTAATTAAATCAAAGAGATGGTCTCTTTGACTTGTCAGATTAGATTTAAAGCAGGAGAAATTTATCGAATTGCTTTTAGATTAAATATAAACTATTGGTTATTTCTGGTATTAGTACAACTTTTTAACAGACATACTTCTAAATGTCTTTTTTTAATCAGTCTGCCTGGTTCTACGTCTCGTATGTCATCACTGGTAGGCTTCAACCACACTCATAAGTTGGTGTCAATAAAAGATAACGGTTGGGATGGTATCAGGTCTTTGGCAGGACGCGTTACATTATAAAATGATTTATCATGCTACTATTTGCATCCAAAAAAAGAAAAACAAACTGACAATTCATACATGGTTCTGTTATAAATGGATGAAATGATAGTATTGGGGTTTATATTGAATGTTGACTGGATCAAATCACAGTTTTTCTACCTTTTTTTAAATTTTTTTTTTTTTTGTTCAGTTTAGCTTCATTTCGTTGATCCTTCTGGTCAGTGGTGGCAGATTTGGATGGTTAGTTAATGGTACATAAGGACCTTCAGGATTTTGGTTTTAAACCTTTGTTCCAAAATACCAGATTGACTTAGTTCAATTTCTGGCATTATCCTTGTTTTCCCAGTTTTTCCAGGCCTGTGATGGCATGCTGGGTAAAGTTCTCTAGTCTGGTGATTTATGTAAAATCCAAAAGATGTTGAGCTTTGTTTCTGAACACCTGATTGCTCTCCTGCATGTGTGTTTTTTGCTTTCCTTTTAAAGTTCTAAAATGCTTCACTTTTGTTGCTAGAAAAGCACAGAAATTATATTAGTGTCTTCTAACCCACCCTCCTCTCCTTCCCTGCCAGGATGAACTGGCCCATGCTAACCATGGAAACTCCAAGCCCAGCACACCAGCCAACCAGGGAAAGATCTCCAAAACTGGTTCACCTGTGTCCTTAAACGACGGATCCTCCAAAGCCAATAACCCACCTTCCACTCATGGTGGCTCCGTCCCATCCCCCCATGAAGAAGCCAATGGTGAACATGCACTGTCCTCCTCTACGCCGCCATCTACAGCTGCTTCTGTTGCTAAAACTGATCCTGAAAAGAAGCAGGATGGTTCTGAAGAATTCAACAAGAACCTGGACCGAAAAAGTGAGAAGTCTGAAAATGGAGAGAATGCAGAAAGACGACGGGGGGAACAGACGAGTCAGCTTGGAGAGGACAACCAGGAGTCTGCACCAGTGAAAAGTGAAGGTGACCAGTTCAGCATCTGATGCAACAGACCGACACAAACTAATACACTATTAGAAAAATTTGAGCATTTTTTTGCAAGCTAAAATCTGAAAAGTGCAGCTTTTTTGTGCATTTAGTCCTCCTGACTCAACATGTTTAGCACTGAAGCAAGCAGGTTAATCTGAATCCCAATTTAGTGTTTCAGACACTAAAAGATGCCATTTACTGGAAGAATAATCCAAATCTCTACAGGAAATATTAGGGCTGAAACAATTAATCATTAACTGGAGTGTAGAAACTGTAAAACATATCTTTAGCTGACAGAGCAACCCTTTTACAGCACTAATTATACAAAAATTGTAAAAAAAAAAAAATATATAAAAATCTTCTTAAAGAAACCTTTGGCTATCTCATTATTAATTGAAAAAAAAAAACAATCGACAGAAAATAATCATTAATTGCAGCCCTAGAAAAGCATGAAATTATTTGCATGAAAAAGCTCGTAAATTATTTTCTCTCCAGATCTCTTTTCTAAGCATTAGTTTTTGCAATGCATGTTAAATGTGCAATTAATTTTTTTTTTCTCATTTCGCTTAAAAAACTTGTTTACTAAGGAATTTCGATTTCCTCACACTGTTTATTTTCATATAATCTATTGTTAAAATATTTGAAAGCTGGAAGGGAGACACAAACTAAATTGCATCTTAAATCCTCTGAAAGCCTGGACCGTTCTGTTTGTTTTTGGCAGATGGAGAGGAGAATTTGGAGAAGTCTGAGCTTCAGGCCATCATAGATTCGACTCCTGAGCTGGATATGGACTTTGATGGCGGCAGAGGAACAAGGTACAGGACCTGTTTGGTGCTGCAGCTTCTTATCCTGTATGAGGAAACATAGGCGGTGGTTAAAGATCATCGTAAAACTGAAACATTTTCTTTTGTGTTAACTGTTTGAACAGCACACCAACTATAGGCGGCATAGAGAATCCAGCCTTCGGCCGAAACAACGATTCTTTGTTTGACGAGCTGGCCTCTGCAGGGAACGACACGATAGGCGACGTGGACGAAGGAGCCGACCTACTTGGTAAAACATCTTACTCTACCAGGATGTTTCAACTTCTGTTTTTACAAACTCTCTGAGTTTTCTTCTGCTCTGGCTTGCGGGCGTAACCATCGTCACAGATGAGTTCTCTGGTGTGTATCAGGATTTCCTCCATGTCCACTTCACTGTGTCCACAGAGTCTGTTTTGTCCTCCTGGTTGTAGCTGCCTATAGCGATGCTGTTTGTTTTTATTTGGGGTGTTTTAGTGTTTAGGATTGTGATTACCTAGAATATAAATTTTCAAAAGAGATGTAATTTAAATACATTTTTCTTATCCTCCTTTTTATGACTGACTTTCAGTCTGCAACCTTTTAGGTAAGACTGAACATTTGTGTGGTGTTGGCATTGGCAAACAGAGGAATAGAGCTGGTAGATGATAACTCCACCAAAAAACATAATACTGAACGTGTTGCCTGGATGTTTATTTTCAGGTATGGGTCGGGAGGTTGAACATCTCATCCATGAGAACACCCAGCTGCTGGAGACCAAGTTAGTAATAACCACACTTTACTTTGTGATCTCTCACAAGAGGAAAGTATTAACTTTACGAGGGCGGC